GGTCTTTTTCAAGCCACTGGAGAAGTGTTTGGCCAAACCAGAGGTGGAAGTATTTCTCAATGTAAAATCTACGGCGGGAACAGACCTGAGGGGAAGGGGGAAATCTTCAACAACCAAACTCGTAACTGCTAAAAATTCAGAAGTCAAAAGAAAGCGAAGTGAATTCTATGTACCAGTTGTGCCAGTATTCCCTTTTCTGCAGAAAGTGAACCCATAAAAGGAAAGAGTAAGCTTAAATTTATGTAAATTCACAATGAAAAGTGTTTGTTTAATGTGTCTGCTGCATGCAAGCCTCAGGAGGTTAATGTTTATTCTAACTTCTAATTTACCCTTGCTCTCTCAACTGACAGATGCTGTCACACACTTCCTCCAACCTTTGATAAATTCAGCTTTTTGTCAATGAGGCAAAAGGCCTGATGCTGTTTGTTGGGAGTTGGGGGCGGGGGGACAAAGGATAATGAATGATCTCCACCCTCAACTGGAACTGGCAACAGGGGTGTGAGATTGGATCAGCGGTCCAATCCCGTCCAGCCATTTGCCAACGATGCCGATTTATGTTAGGTAGCCTTCCCTCCTTGTTGTGTCAGCATATTTGCATTTATTAGCAGCAGAGACTGCCGTTCCTTTCGCATCGCATCGTGTTTAACTTAATCTACTCCACATTCAAAACCCCAACGGAAGAACGGAGGGGAGAGAAGCGCTCCAGGGTGCTTACCGTCCCTGTCCTATTGTTTCTTTTATTCCTTATTCGTATCCATTTCATGAATTCATAACCATGTTTATACTTATACCTGTTATCTAATAATCGCTTGACAAAATCGATAAAATAAAATTGCAAGCAAGTCAGCGACTGAAGTTCGCTCCACTCGAAGAGAGGTATTGGGTGGTGTCCAACAACAGCACCAATTATGCCAGTGGAAAGTCAGGAGTTCAAATATGTACTTTCGCTTTCCGGGATATCGTCTTTGTAATTGTTTACAAAGCAGCCTAAGCCCAAATTTCTAGTTGTATTTTTTTTTAAAAAAACCACCAAAACCACAGGACTTTATATGTCCATCCAAGGGGCTACAATTCTTTTTTTGTTTGCAAATCTACCTTATTATGCAATATCTGTGCATGTATGGCCCAACAATCTGAAATATGGACTATGCAAAAAAGAGAGAGGGAGGGAGGGAAGGAGAGAGAGGGAGAGGGAGAGAGAGAGATATTAGTCTACTCAGTGCTTTCCTGACTCTGCCATTATAATTTAGTGCGCACTGACTGCTGCGACCCTGTACAGCCTGACAATTGTAGCCCAACACAATAAAAATACAACATGTTCTCCTCGTTTGCACCAAGGTTGGAAAGACATGCGATAAAAATTCAGCACATTTTGTGCTCATTTGGCAGGTTGCGCTGTAGCGATCATCTTAGAGATAAAACAGATGAGCTCAGCATGATGTTCGGAATGTACCATTTCAGACTCTAAAGGGGGGTGAGGGTGGGAAGAGAAATTGGGCAATGCTTTTTTGCTTTCGACAGATTAAAAAAAAAATGCATTATGTTGGCCTAGAATTTTCTACTCAACATGCTAGTTAAGGGTTACTAATCTAACTATTAAATCCCTATCCATACTGGCCGGAGGGGGAGGGGAAATGGCACAACCCGAACATGAAGCTTTTCTGCATATCATTTAGCCTTCAGACAATAATACTGTGGGACTAGTATTAGTTACTTTACAATCAGACTCGTTAGACGAATCATAAAATTATCTTCCCAACTGCTAGTGACTGCCCTAAGCTCAATGCTTACAGAATCAGATTACTAAGCATGCTAACAAATGTACCAAACTCCAATATCCTCAAAAAAAAGGTCAACCATTCCAAATGGCCATCTCCTTTCATCATTCTTTTTCCTGCAGTAGGAAGAAAAAAGTTCCCTCAGCATATACAGTAAAAGAAGGGAAACCTCTGAGGAAAACTTCTGATTTCTATATAGAACGTGGTCAAAATAGAAATAGCCATAGCACTTAGACTTATATACTGCTTCATAGTGCTTTACAGCCCTCTCTAGGCGGTTTACAGAGTCAGCATGTTGCCCCCAACAATCTGGGTTCTCATTTTACTCACCTCGGAAGGATGGAAGGCTGAGTCAACCTTGAGCTGGTCAGGACTGAATTGCTGGGGGTGGTGGCAGAATTAGCCTGCAATACTGCAATCTAACCACTGTGCCACCATGGCTCTTAAGTAACTCTACAGATAACAACAACAGCTATAGCACTTAGACTTATACACCGCTTCACAGGGCTTTACAGTCCCTCTCTAAGCAGTTTACAGAGTCAGCATGTTGCCCCCCACAATCTGGGTTCTTCATTTTACCCACCTCGGAAGGATGGAAGGCTGAGTCAACCTTGAGCCTGATGAGATGCGAACTGCCAAATTGCAGGCAGCCGGCAGTCAGCAGAAGTAGCCTGCAGTACCACACTCTAACCACTGAGCCACCATGGTATTTAAGTCAAAATACTTAATGCCAGCTGGTTGTGAATTATCTAGGGACTCCATCCCATTCTGAGAAGCAAACTTTGATATGCTACAACCCTATCTTCCATTTGCACCTTTCTGAATTTAGTTGCACATTTCTGGACCAAAGCACCTATACTTTTAATCTTCTGATTATGCTTACATGAACCTAGTGATATTCGGCAATACAGGTAGTCCCTGACTTACAATGGAGCCCCAAAATTTCTGTTGCTCAGTGAGATATTTGTGAAGTGAGTTTTGCCCCATTTTATAATCTTTCTCGCCATTGTTGTTAAATGAATCACTGCAGTTGTTAAGTTAGTAACACGGTTATTATGTGAATCTCGTTTCCCCGTTGATTTGGCTTGTCAGAAGGTCGCAAAAGGTGATTAAAAGATGCCAAGATACTGCAACCGTCATAAATATGAGTCAGTTGCCAAGCATCTGAATTTTGATCACATGTCCATGGAAAGGATGCAACGGTTGTAGGTGTGAAAAACAGTCACAAGTCACTTTTTTCAGTGTAATTTTAAACGGTCACAGAGTGAACTTTTGTAAGTCGAGAACTACCTGTGCAGTAAATGAAAACACGAATATCTTATGCATTATAAGTATTGCAAGATTTTCACAGCAGGGTTTTTTGGTAAAGTCTTTTAACACTTTTAATTTTCCACAAGTCATCTGGAAATAAAGATGATTCAGCTGTCCCTCTGTATCACAAGCAAGTGAACAATCCCACCACAACCGATGCAGAAATGTGAGAGGGAAAAGCAGAAATAATGCAGAAAAGTTCAATTCTGAATATTGAAAACTTGAAAGAGACTTTTTTCTAATGTCTCAACAAATATTCCACACTTCTAAGAAGTGTTTGTAGCTTGTCTCAAAGATGCTTTTTCAAAAAATAAATGGACTTCGTTTGTTTTTAGTTGAAGACATTTCACTTTTTGTTCAAGAAGTTTCTTCCAGTTCTGACTGAATCCTACCGTCCCCCACTATTCAGTCAGAAATGAAGAAGCTTCTTGGATGAGAAGCGAAATCTCTTCACGGAAAAACCAAAAAAGTCCAGTTGCCTCTTGAAAAAGCATCTTTGGGACAACCATGATCTGGAGGACTGAGAATCTCCATAAAAGATTCTTTTGGAGCTTGTAAGAATCCACTTTCAAAAACTGCCCTCCAATAGGATGAAAAGCTGTACAGTCAGAGCAGCCCATTTTCAACACTTGTTTCCAGAGTCCAAACATTTTGCACCCTTCTAACAATAAACCATAATAATCACAGATCACACTAACATTTCCATTCCAGAGAATATACTTTGCCTTTCAGACTAGCATTCCATGAAGTAATAGATAGATCAGAATAAAAACAGCCTTTTAATTTCACATTCGTTTCTCCTATTTGCCACAGATAGTACAACTAGGCCTCAACTTACAGCTTACAATTGAGATCAGAATTTCTGTTCTTAAACAGTGCTTGTTAATTGAGTTTCGCCGATTTTATGGCTTTTATGCCACAGTTGTTAAGCGAGTTACTGCAGTTGTTAAATGGATCAGTAGGTTGGTAAGCGAATCCAGCTTTTCCCATTATCTTTGCTTGTCAGAAACCAGCCGCGAAGGTCACAACTGGCAATAGCACTAGCACTTAAGACTTATATACTGTGTCACAGTACTTACAGCCCTCTCTAAGCAGTTTACAGAGTCAGCATGTTGCCTCCAAATAATCTGGGTCCTCATTTTACTGACCTTGGAAGGATGGAAGGCTGAGTCAATCTTGAGCCAGTCAGGATCGAACTGTTGGTAGTTGGCAGAGTCAGCTTACAATACTGCATTCTAACCACCGTGCAACTACAGCTTCCTTTCTTCCTTCTCATTTCCACTTCCTCCTTCTCATCTTCCTTCCTTCTCATCTTCCTTTCCCTTCCTTTCCTTTCCTTTCCTTTCCTTTCCTTTCCTTTCCTTTCCTTTCCTTCCTTCTCAAGCAATAGTACTTAGACTTACATGTATACTGCTTCACAGATCCACCTTCCCCAACATTGTATCTTCAAAGTGTGTTGGCATTGCCACACTTTGGAAGGACCAATGGTATATAAATGTAATGATGAAGAAAACAATGTGAAATAGCAATAGCACTTAGAACTTATATACCACTTTACAGTGCTTTTACAGCCCTCTCCAAGCGGTTTACAGAGTCAGCCTCTGGCCCCCAACAACCTGGGTCCTTATTTTACCAACCTCGGAAGGATGGAAGGCTAAGTCAACCTTGAGCCTGGTCAGGATCGCACTGCTGACAGCGGGAAGAATCAGCCTGTCATACTGCATTCTAACCACCGTGCCAATCACATGACCTGAAATGTTGCAACTGTTGCAAATACATGCCAGTTGCCAAGTATTCAAATCTTGATCACATGACCAGGATGCTGCAATAGTTGTTAAGTGGAAGAACTGCTCCTCAGTCAATTTTTCAGTGTCGTTGTAACTTTATGCCTCAGTGGTATAAAATACTTACTCTCCAACCTCATAGAGAATGGGTGCCGGACAGAGCATGAAATTAGATTCCACTTTTTCCGGTTTTACATCTAAAAAACAAACAAAAGACCAAAAGACCATATATTAATCTACCACAATAGATTAATTTATTTGAAATTATAAATGATTTAATGTAACTGAAGGGGAAAATACCATGCGGAATTTGGCCTAAAATCCATACATGTTACGTAGTTGTTAGGAGATTATTGTTATTAATTTTTAAGGTAATAATTAAAAAGTGATAAATTATTATTAGGAATTAAAGAGGAGTTAATTAAATGATGTATAAGGTAAAGGGGTAGTACACTAAATTAGTAATTACAGGGGAAACCTTTTGAATTATTTTAATTAGGGTGGAATTTTTGGAATAATGAAATAAGAACATGCGATGAAATTGCAAATGTGAACGGTAAAAATATGAGGTATAATGAATATGAAGATAGGAGAATTATTCAAAGTAAAAAAGAAATAAGTTAAGAAATGAATAGAAAATATATACAATAAGTCTGAGAAAAATATTTGAGAAAATTTATAGAAAATATGTAATGTAATGATATAGTCTGAAATCAAATGTGAAAGATGAATATGTAACCAAGGTCATGTTTGTATGGAAATGTGGAGCCCTGGAATCATGCTGTTCACTAAAAAAAAGAAATGTTGAAAAAATAAAAAACTTTTTACAAAAAAAAAGACCATATATTGTATAATGGGATATTATCTGCTGATCAATAAAGATGATCAGACTGTTGTTTCTCTGTATCATATCAAATATGTGGGTATATGCAGGGCTGGGCTGCTGGGGGTTCACAGAGGTTCAGGAGAGCCCCTAGCTAAGATTCTGTGCAGTTTGGAGAACCCCCCCCCCTCATCCCACTCCTGGCGGGCCCCGCCCACCCCTCCCCTCCCCTCCCCTCCCAGGAATCCCCACGTGGCCCGTTTTGGATGCAGGTAAGGGCAGGGCATGCACAGAGGCTCAGGGAGGGCGAAAAATGGGCCTCCTGGAAATTTGGGAAGGCCGGAAATGTTTTTGCCTTCTCAGAGGCTCGAGGAAAGCCTCTGGAGCCCCAGAAGGGCAAGAACGCCCCCTTCCACCATGGTGCCGGAGGCTGACTAGGCCACACCCATCATGGCCACGTCCATCCAGCAACCAGGCAGCAACCTTTGCTAAATTTTTTGAAGCCCACCCCTGGGTATCTGCCTACTTTTGCATACATATACCCCACGTGCATACTTATTCACTTACTTACTTACTTAGATAATTTATTTGTTTATTTTATTTATTTATTTAGCCATGTTTATGTGACAGCAACTTAACCGATTTCTACCCGTGTTATAAGAATGGGTAGACGAATTAATCAGCGGCATGTCTTCCCTCCAGAAGTTGTGGGTGGAGGCTTTTAAGAAGAGATTAGACATTTGCCTGAACGGGTATAGAGCAGGTTGTGTTAAACACAAGGCCTGTGGGACGGATTCGGCCCACAACATGGTCAGATCCAGCCCACAAGGTTTTCGTGGAAAATATAAGGGTCCGGCCCCGCGTAGCTTCGGCCCGGTCTACCCCAGTGCAAAATGGAAACATGCCAGCAGTTTGGGAAGTGGCGTCAAGCTGGCCACACCCACCCAGTTGGCCACACCCACCAATCCCCCAAGGTCAACCACAGCCCTGATGTGGCCCTCAATGAAATTGAGCTTGACACCCCTGGTATAGGGTTTCCTGCTTAGCAGGGGGTTAGACTAGAAGACTCCTGAGGTCCCTTTCCCACTCTGTTATTCTGTTGCTCTATTATTCTGCCTCTGGGAACAACCAAGATGGATTTTAGGGAGGTCCCCTTATGCCACTTGCGGCTGCTGAAAGACTCCAAGCTAAGTCCCTGCTTGACATCCTCCACCCATTTCCCTTCCTTCCAGGTAGTCCTCGACTTACAGCAGTTCACTTCAAAGTTATAACATCACACTTTTTTGTTGCTAAGCAAGACGTGAGCTTCTCCTCCATTTGACGACCTTTCTTTCCACAGCCGTTAAGTGAACCGCTCCCATTGTTAAAGTTAGTAGCACCTCGGTTAAGCGAATCTGGCTTCCCCATTGGTTTTGCTCACCAAAAGGGAATCATGTGACCTCAGGACATGGGGTGGGATTGAAATTTCTTAACAACCGGTTCTGTGGGTGTGGCCTAATTTGTGGGTGTGGCTTGGTGGTCATGTGACTGAGTGGGTGTGGCTTGCTGACTGGGCATGGCATGGTGGTCATGTGACTGGGTGGTCATGGCTTGTATGTAAATATTATAAATGTTTATGTAAATATTGATTATTTTTTTTTATAAAAAAGAGCAACGTTTACCCAAAAGCAGGCAAAGCAGGCAGACAGATTGAGTTGCTCACAGAATCACAGATTCACTTGGAGATCTATCTATCTGCAATCGGCTCCCTGAGTCTGCACTGAAAAACTTCAGTCCTAAGGAAGGTTCGGCTCCGCTTTTAGATTAGCTAGAAAGCAAGAAATCCGAGGATTTCCTGCTTTCTAGTTAATCTAAATCTCCTGGCACAGCAGAATAGCTGATGGTCAGGGGGGGGGAAGAAAGGAAAAATAGCAACTTACCAAACCAGGCAGGTTGGATGGCTTGCATGCCAGGTAAGGAGTGAGTGCGCGGGAAGGGGAGGGGCCAGCCAGTGGAATGATTTGCCAGTTCTCCAAACTGGGGACAATCGTTGTGTGCAGCCTTTGAAAGAAATCATCGGCTGTGCTGCCTGGACAGCCGACAAGCGCTGCACACAGGTGCGCAGCATTTGAAAATCCTCTTGTTTCCTGCTTTTTCAACCTCAGCTGCGCTGCGCAAAGCAGCTGAGGAGGGAAAAGCAGGGAATGAAGGACAGCCTAGATCCCGGACAGGCGGGTGGGCCAAATACCGAACCGGTTTGGTGTCAGCTGCTCTTCTCAGAGACAGGTTCTATAAAACCGGGCCAAACCGGTAGCCTCCCACCCCTGCCTCAGGATATTTGCAACCGTCATAAACATGACAGTTGCCAAGCGTCTGAATTTGGATCACTTGATCGTAGAGATGCTGCAACGGTCATCCTTGTGGGAAATGGTCACGAGCCCCTTTTTTCAGTGCTGTATTAAATTGGAATGGTCACTAAGTGAACCACTGTAAGTTGAGGACTGTATGTAATCTGATGACTCAAGCGCTCTGTGCTGTAGGGATACTCACTCATGCTTGTTCCATTGACCATATAAGTGCAGACGACACTTTCCGGCGTCCTACCCAGCGTGAATCCCGTTCCACTTAGAACAACTTGGAACTTCTCTGAAAAGCAGAACCAACAAAATATCAGCGAGTTGGACCTACGCCAAGCTTCCTTACTGACTTTTGAGAGCAAAATAAAACTCTTCATATTTTATACTCAGTGCTTGATGATGTCTATACTTAATGCCTGTGATTTTAGAAAGAAAGCAGAACGTATTACGAAACTCTTGTCCTTGAAGAAGCATCAGCATTTAATAGTACACATCATTACAGCGGCAAGGATAGCGTTTGCTCAAAACTGGAAATCGACAACGGTACCCACAGATTTGGCAGTAATCAATAAAATTCACCAATGCACAGAAATGATTAGATTAATCACGATATTAAAAAACAAGGAAGAGGGAGATTTCTTTACAATGTGGAATATATGGTACAAATGGTTGAGTAAAAAGGAAGTCAAGATGTTCAGTGAAAAAGATTAAAGAAATAGGAAAAAGGACGAACGTGTATATAGACATGTATATATATAATGTGAATAAATAACTATTGTAACTTAATAACAATACTAATAAGTAAGGATTTAGCAAATAAGTTACAGATATATTTGAAGTAAATGAACTTAATTGACACTAATAGATATGTATACTGTTATGACAGCGCTGCAAAATGTGAGAACATATTTCTCTCTTTTTTTAAAAGTTTTTGAAACTCTGAATAAAAATATTATTTTTTAAAAAAGAAACTCTTGTCCTTGTAAAGCGGCTGGAGAAGGAGGGAAAGAGTGGGAGGTCAGTTCATATATATATCCTCAGGGACAATTCTTTTCATCAACTTTCCCAACAAATTTTGAGAAGGGTGTGATTTGGATCGCAGATGGGTTTGTCCAAACCATCATCATCTTCTTAATGTCTCTCTTTGTTTAAAATGTAAAACAAGAGAGAGAGAGAGAGACACTCTGCAGCCCTCTACAATCCTTCCAGTAGTTGTCAGGAAATTATATACTTTAATATGATGGAGAGGGTAAATTGTTAACTCAATAGGGCCATGATGGTGAACCTATGGCACGTGTGGCCAAAGTGGCACGCGAAGCCATATCACCTGGCACACGTGGCCTTGCCTGTTTGTCTTTCAGGTTTCTTATGCGCATATGAACATGATGATCATATCCTTAATGCGCACAGCAGTACTGTGCACATTTCTGGAGCATGGCCCCAATGAGTGCATGTGCACTATATTTCCGCATGACCGTTTCGGCACACAGTGCCAAAAAGGTTCGCCATCACTGCAATAGGGACTTGTTATTAAACATAAGGGAATGATCACACGGACTGATATCAATGTAAAATAAATTAAGTCAAGTTTATTTGGGAGCTTTTTTTGGCTTTACCACAAAAGCCAAATATATAGGACAAATTTCACGTACAACCACAATTGAACCCCAAATTTCTTTGGCTAAGCAAGACAGTCGTTAAATGAGTTTTGCCCTGCTTTATGACCTTTCTTGCCGCAATTGTTAAATGAATCGCTATAGTTAAGTCAGTAACACGTTTGTTAAGTGTATCACCCCAGTTGTCAAGTTAGTAACACAGCTGGTAAGGGATTCCGATTTCCCCATTGACTCTGCTTGTCAGAAGGTCGCAAAAAGGGATCACTTGACCCCAGGAAACATTGCAACCGTCATAAATATGAGTCAGTTGCCAAGTGTCTAAATTTTGATCCCTTTTCATGCTGCAAAGGTCGTAACTATAGAAAAGGGTCGTAAGTGTGAAAAACGAGTCACGTTTTTCAACACCATTGTAACTTTAGACATATAAGACATAAGAATTTATTTGTCATTACACTCGCAAGCAGGTGCAATGAAATGAGGTGCTCTTCCACAAGTAAAACTGGACAACACCATTGAAAGAGAAATAAAATTAAACACAACAGACCATACAATAATCTCTATACAATTTAAAAATGTAAATACCCCATTACTCTCAGCCATTAATTTCCAAAAAAATCTTACGACCCTGCATTCAAACTCAAAACTGCACTTGGATAAAAACTGTTCTTAAATCTAGTCGTCCTTGTTCTTAATACCCTGAATCTCCTTCTCGATGGTAATAGTTCAAAGAGCTGATGTCCCGGATGAGAGGAGTCATTCAATATATTAAATATCTTCCTCTTACATCTATTCCTATACCGTTCTTCCAAAGAGGGGAGTGAGCAGCCAACGATGTTTTGGGCCATCTTAATCACCCTCTGAATTGCCTTTTTCTCTGCCACTGTGCAGTTCGAGAACCATACACAGAGACAGTAGGATAATATACTCTCAACTTTAGTCACTAAACTGGTTACAGGTTGAGGATTTCCTCTATTTTATTCGTTTATCAGATTTTGAAACCACCTATCTTCCTCACAGAGGGACTGTAATCCTAATTCTTCCTGAACTGCGGTGATTTTTACTTTCAACCTGGGTGTCAACTCAAAAATATTTCTCTGGTCTTTTAGAGTTATCAGCAGAAAGGAAGTGGGAGAAGCAGCCCGTTCTTTAAATGATTATTAGATAATTGCTAGGCAGCCGGAGCTTCTGGCACGCAAGATTATTACTGGAGAGCATGAGTGATGACTCTTGGATGTGTCCCATTCAGGAATATACATTGAGGGGGTGGGGGAAGACTAGGGTCAAGGATGAAATGAATGATGTGTCGCAGAGTCAGCTGCACCCAGGTAGCACCAACGTGTTCACTCCTAATAAATCTTGTTTTTTTTTTTTCCTCTGAGAGATGTAGCTAGAGACATGATTTGAATGGGGTGGGCGGATGCCGGAACCCTGACAATGGGATTCTGAACAACAGCATTGTGGATTGGTCAGAACCTGGTGAATAATCCATCATAGCCAGTGGTGAGATTCAAATTTTTTTACTACTGGTTCTGTGGGCGTGGCTTTGAGGCATGGCGTGGCTTGGTGGGCGTGGCAGGGGAAGGATACTGCAAAATCCCCCTTCCCTCCCCACCACACTAACCTGCTTTCCAGCTCCGTTCTCCTGTGCAGGGCAACCAAAGAAAACCCAGACGATCAGCTGGGACTCAGGAGGCAGAGAATAGATGGGGCAGGGCCAGTCAGAGATGGGATTTGCCAGTTCTCTGAACTACTCAAAATTTCCACTGCCGGTTCTCCAAGAACTGGTCAGAACCTGCTGAATATCACTTCTGATCATAGATATGTTACCCAACAAATACAGCAAATCCTTTTGCAATTATCCCTCTCTTGCATTTTGGTACCTGATGACTGTAGGCCTTCACAGTTTAAGGATTGATATTTATATTATAGTCAGGCCATGTTTTGTTTGGTTCACATGCAACTGACAGATTGGATGCCAAATTATGATTTTTAATATAGGTTTTATTTATTATTTATTATTTCATTCTAGACTTTTTAACTGGGTATTCCTTGAGTGTGTTTTTTTAACTTGCTCTGGTCTTTGACTGTAATAAACATTGACTTGACTTTACAACATGGAAAGAGGAATCGGGGGAAGACGTGGAAAATCCATGCTCTTAAGCACAAAAAGACTTTCATGAATTAAAACAAATTTTACAAAGAACCTGGCTCAAGAATACATAAGAGGAAATGGAACAAGTCAGTTCAGTCACTCAATCCATCATCAATAGCCAGTCTAATTGAGAACTTGTGAAATCAGGTTCGTCAATTAGAAACAGCTGTTCCAGCCCTTTCATTTCTTTTTCTGCAATAATCCTCGTATTTCACATTTTGGTCAGGAAATATCACTAAATATCCACGAAAAGACTAGATAATAATTTCTAGCAGTTATTGCTAAGTGTCACGGGGAATAAAAGCAGTTTAGACCCAAATTCACTTGTCTTAGTGAAAATAGGGTTTCCTGCCTAAGCAGGGGGTTGGACTAGAAGACCTCCAAGGTCCCTTCCAACTTTGTTATTCTATTCTATTCTATTCTATTCTATTCCATTCCATTCCATTCTTTCCCTATTCCTGTTTTATTCTGCTCGCAGGAAAGTAAGGAAAGATAAAAGCCAGCTATGAATCGCATGTTCTTTGCAGGAAGCAAAGACATTTTGAAACTCAGCCTCGTGGACATTGCAGTATCTTAGTTGGTATTTGAAGACTCTTGTGTTGTAAAATATTTCTAGGTAACCTTATCTGTTATTTTTGGCAGCCTCGCACAGTTTTGGCGAGGCACCTGCTTATCAAAGTTAGTTAGTTTGCAGCAGCCTTTTAACCGGGGATTCATAAGAATCATTAAAAGGTTTCTGTTCCCTTTAGTTCATGTTTGTTTTATTGGACAAGGGTTTCGGTCAGAACAAATTGAAGGCTTAACACCCCCAACAAAACAGAAAAAAAAGTTATAAGATAAATAAAAATAAAAGGTGATGAAAATGGGTCTGGTCACATGATGATCTCTTTATGACCGTCACAATCCATGACCGTAATGGGCAGGCTCTATTATGGTCACAAGTCAAGAACTACCTGTAGACTTTGGTTCAGCCTTTGCCAACCTGGTCTGCTCACCAGCTGGGTGGACTTCAACTCCCAGCATTCTCAGCAAAGGCCAGCCTGGCTGGGCATGCTGAGACTTGTGAAAATCAGTGTTTCTTAACCTTAGCAGCAGTAGACTTCAACTCCCAGAATCCCCCAGGCAGCCTGCTGTGGCTGGGGAATTCTGGGAGTTGAAGTCCACCCATCTTCCTGTGCCCAAAGTTGAGAAATACAGATGTAGATTGTGCTCCAAAGGGAGAAAAAGTACTTTAGCCTCTTTATTTCACAAAATTATTGAAGAGATGTCCTAGGAAGACGTTGATTATAATTCAGAAAATCCTAGGAGTTGAAAACCTAATAAATCTCCCCAGGTTGTGCGTCCCACCACATATGCAACACAATATTATTGTAAATACGCTTTCCCTTTAAATCTGCAACTTCCAAGGTTTCTGGAGAGGAAACTGTAAGAATTTAAATCTGTTCACACAGGCTTTGGCAAACTGGAGCAAGGAAAGGAAAGTTTCTTTTATTCACATCTTCCTACTCAGCATATGGAAGTACAGTTAGACATTTTGCCCAAGGATGTAACAGCAGGATTGTCAATATTTTCACATTGTTTTCCAGTCGCACACTCACCTCCTACACAAACACTTGAGGGTTCCAGATTTAAGATTTCCGTGCACGATTGCTTCAGTATCTGTTTGGGGTAAAATGGGAAAAATATTTCTGACAAATGTACATTACGGTGTTTTTTGTTTTTTTTCAAGTCAACAAGGATTCCATTACAAGGAATTATTTTAACGAGATGCTGCAAAGTGTGATACCTGGTTAGATAGAGGTTATTACAGTGTGGATTCATTTGAAAAAAAAAAAATTCACAGACATCATGGATTAGCAAATCTGGACATTTATTAATTACTAGCTGGATACCCATGCTTCGCTATGAAACTATGTGGTCAGGCTTAGTTTTGGGGGAGGAAAATAAGGGGGGAGGAAATTCTGTCTCTACCAACCAGCATCCATTGGTATTCATCTGGCTAGCATCCTGTCAGTATGTGAGAGAGTATCATGCCCCTGTTGGAAACTGATTCTGAGGAAGAGGAGGAACAGCCAACCGGGAGTGAAAGTATGGCTTTGGAGGTTGTGGAGAAGACCCAGGCCCATCCCCTCTGCATCCTAAGGCACGCAGGGAGGAACGGAGAAAGGAACAACGTGGCTTACGGGAGAGGAAGCGGCCATGATCCCCCTCATTGGCTGCAGCTGGGGGGAATAGTATAAAGGAGGGGCGTTTAAAACACAGGGTTGTTAGAAGCAAAAAGCGTGTTTTATTTCTGGCTGAGGTTTATCTTAGTTGGCATTCTTCCAACAGACTAGGCCTTGTTATCTTCTTGAAGTTTGTAATTAGTTACCCTGGTCTATCGTAGAAATTCCTTCAGTGCGGTTTGTTTTGATTTTATTTCTTCGTTATCTGTTCTTTGAGTTTGGACTATATTACTTTCTTTTGGAGACTATTTTGGAAAGAGTTTAATTTCCAACTGCGAACAATTGAACAGTGAGGCCAAGTTGAAGGCATTAAAGGAAATTAATTTACCTTTGGGAATTTATTACATGTGTGCTGCTTCCTGGGTCATCACAGAGAGTTGAGGGCTGTTTGGAAACTGAAAGAGTATTTGCTGGGTGAGCAAGAAGGAGCCTGGGCGTGGCTTAGCTCAACTGTTCTGTACTAAAGCTTCTTGTTGCTGTGAAGCTAAAATTGAGCTCTCAACCTTCCGAGTGGGAAGTGAGAGTCTTCACCACCACACCCCTCATATGTATGTATGTGTATACAGGTAGTCCTCGACTTACAACAGTTCATTTAGTGACCCTACAAAGTTTCAACAGCAATGAAAAAAGTAACCTATGCCCATTTTTCACAGTGACAACCGTTGCCGCATCCCCATAATCATCACATGATCAAAATTCAGATGCTTGGCAATTGACTCACATTTATGACGGTTCCTATGTCCTGAGGTCATGTGATCATGTTTTGTGATCTTCTGACAAGTAAAATCAATGGGGGAGCCACATTCACGTAAAAAACAGGTCTCTAACTTATCAACT